GTGGTGGCACATACTGTAATTCCTGCACCTGGGAGGTGAAGGCAGATGGATCTTGGGTCTCAGATCTCTGCAAGTTTGAGGATAGACTGATCTACAGAGTAAATTTGAAGACAGCCAGAGCTACAAGGAAAGATCCTGTTTATAAATAAATAAATAAATAAATAAATAAATAAATAAATAAAATCAAGTTTATATAATAGCTCGTAGGATTTTGAATAACTGTGTGCTAAAAACCATCTCAAGGTTTCATACAGAATTCTGTGTTTTTCTCCCCCAACCCCATCCCTTCCAGATTAATGAGAAGACATGGTAAGCACATAGGAATGGGTTCTATGCACTTGAAACAGACCCAGGAAATGCTTTGTTCTTTGGACATGCATTATCTTAAAGGAATGAGACTGGGACTTTTTATAGGGAATATGTGAGGCTTTGTAAAAACTTTAAAAAGTTGTTTATTATGGAAACTTTTTATAAAAGGTTTCTTTTTTTCCTATTTCAGGGTTTTCAAATAAAATCTATAAGATAATAGATCCCTAATCGATTTGAAGGGAGTCAAAACGTTTTCCTGGACAGAAGGTCAAATAAATTTTAAGCCATTCACCATAACATAAGCTCAGTTTCTAATCTGTGTTTTTCTTGTTTTGTTTTTTCCAAAATGTCCATTCCTTTCTCTGTAGGGAGACACCGTAACCATGCCTCCTAAGAGCTGGCTACAGGTGTGCTTGACCACACCTGCCAGAGCATGGTCAAGGGGAGGTCAGGATAGGTTCTTAAAGGTCCGCTGACATGTGGGAACCCCTTCTCTCTGGCCTCCCTGCCTTGCTGCCTCTGGGCATGCTCTGGCTTGCGCTTGGCTGGAATTTATCTGAATAAAGGTATTTTGAATCTACAAGCCTTCTCTGCCATCTTCATTTGTCTCTTCCTTTCCTTCAGTTTCAGTTTACTGGAATTAATTTTACATAAAGTGAGCACAAATATCAATGTGCTTTTTATGCCAAAATTGGATGATTTTCACAAGAGAAATATCTATGTGAAAGTTAATCATGTTTGTGTAATTAAAATAGCATCCTCCAAATTGTGAGAGCCATCACATATAGTTTGAATCAACCATACATAGCTGCTAATTCTTTAGAAAGCATAGTTTTGAGGATTCATAAGAAAGCCTGCCAGGGGGTGGTGGCACAGGATTTTAATTACAACACTCAGGAGGCAGAGACAGGCAGTTCTCTGAGTTCTTTAGTATATGTACCAGTATCTTGCTTCTCTAAGTTACTAAAAACCACAAAATGTTTAATATAGACTAAAATATAATACACTAAGTGGTGCATTGTAAATGTTTTATGAAGGAATAAGCTGATTTTAAGACATGAGGAATATTACTTCACAGCTGGGCAGTGGTGGCACACACTTTTAATCCCAGCACTAGAGAGGCAGAGGCTGGTTGATCTCTGTGAGTTCAAGGCCAGCCTGGTCTACAGAGTGAGTTCCAGGACAGCCAGGCCTGTTATACAAAGAAACCCTGTCTCAAAATATCAATCAATCAATCAACTAGTAAATCGATAAGTAGATCATATTACTTATTACTTCACATCATGCTATTAACTGTTATGGGTTATGGGATCTCTTTTTTTTCTTTTTTTTCTGTTTTTTTTTTTGAGACAGGTTTTCTCTGTGTCTTTTTGAAGGCTGTCTTGGAACTAGCTCTTGTAGACGAGGCTGGTCTTGAACTCACAGAGATCCACCTGCATTTGCCTCTCTGGTGCTGGGATTAAAGGCATGCACCACCACCACGTAGCTATAATTAATTCTTTTAAGATTAGTCTCATATTTTTAAGTTTGTTCCAACCCTATCTTATGGATATAGTATTATAATAGCATTATATATTTATATATATATATATATATATATATGTATATATTATATATTCTTTAATTACTACTCATTTACATATCATCTCCCCCATTCCCTTGCCATCCCTTCCTTCCATGTTCTTCAACAACCCAACTGAACCCACCTCCCAACTCCTCCCCAGGGATAGTGAGGCCCCCAACAGGGACGTTCAAAGTCTGTCATATCATTTGGGGGAGGGCTAAGGCCCTACTTGCTGTCTGTATCTGGGCTGCAAAAGTATCCCTCCATAGGGAATGGGCTCCTGAAGTCCATTGTGCTCTAGGGATAAAGACCGGCTCCAATGTTAGATGTCCCATAGACTGTCTTGGCCTCCTAGCTGGCACCCACATTCAGAGAGCTTGATTTGGTCCAATGCTGTTTGCCCAGCTTTATAACAAGGTTGTCAATGCTATCAGTAGGTCAGGTCCACTGTTTCTGCAGGTCTCTCCAGCCCCATCTTGGCTCCTTTGTTCATCCCTCCTCCCTCTCCAGAAGTGAATGGCTCAGTGCTTAGCTGTGGATGTCTGTTTCTGCTTCAAACAGCAACAAGATGAAGGCTCTCCTTCCTCTCCCTGCTCCCGGGCTCCTACTTTGGTCAGGGGTTCTTATCCCCATCCCCCTTTTTTGAGGGACTATGCAATCTTCTCTTAGGGTCATCTTTGTTTCCTACCTCTTCTGGCAGTGTGGATTGTAGACTACTTTGCTATGTCCAAAATTCAAAAATGAGTGAGTACATACCATATTTATCTTTTTGTGATCGGTTTACCTCACTCAAGATGGTTTCTTGTAGTTCCATCCATTTTCCTGGAAATTTCAAGGTTCCATTGTTTTTTCCACTGAGTAGTACACCATTGTGTAAATGTACCACATTTTCTTTATCAGTTCTTCAGTTGAGGGGCATCTAGGTTGCTATTGTAAAGAGTGATATTTCTCTGACTTCTTTCTCAGCACATTTATCTTTTGTATATAGTAGGATTACTATTTTTTTTAGTTGATTTTGTATCCTGCCTCTTTGCTGAAAAATGCTTTGTTCTTTGGACATGCATTATCTTAAAGGAATGAGACTGGGACTTTTTATAGGGAATATGTGAGGCTTTGTAAAAACTTTAAAAAGTTGTTTATTATGGAAACTTTTTATAAAAGGTTTCTTTTTTTTCCTATTTCAGGGTTTTCAAATAAAATCTATAAGAAATAGAACTCATGTTGGCTATCCTTATTCTTCACTTCTACCTATATTCCAATCCTGAATCTGCTTACACATCATTCCACCATCAATTTTTTTTTTGTATTGTGGTTTCTTATTGCAGTGTGACTCCAAAGGCTCCTATGTGATATATTAGATCCTGAACCATTGAAAGTGAGTGGATCATGCTCTGACTCAATCACTGGATTCATCCATTGTAGATTCATAATTGAATGGCATTATTGGCAGATAGTGGAAAGTTGGGGTCAGTGCTAATTGAGAAACTAGGGAATACTTCTAAAGACTAAGTCAAGTCCCTGGCTTCATTCTACCTCACTTTGATCTCAACTGTCATGAGGTAAATATCTTCCCCCTGTCATGGTCTCTCCCGTAATAGTCAACCTCATTTGGATCCACAGCAATGATGCTATCTTACCTTGCTCTAAAACAAACTATGAGCCAATTAACTCATTGTTCTTTAAGTTGTTTTCCTCAGACGTTTTGTCACAGTGAAGAAAAAGTTAAACTCATCACAGTTAACATCACTTCAAGATTTTCCTGGGTAACAACTGGCATAGCTGTCTTTCTAGGCACAACCACGTCATGAAAGTTTGCACACACTGATTCCAAAGCAGACAGCTTTAAGGTGTTTGGAAATCTCCAGCAATTTTCTTTAGTCTATACAAACATTTTCCCTGCTATAGATCCATAATAGGTGTTCAATAATGAAAACATTGATGAGATTTGTCTGTATATTTTTATATAGGAGCACCAGGGACTAGATGTTCTGTTAATCAATATGTGATGGAAAGACTGGAAATCAGCATATGTCAAAATTATATCAAACATTAGAGTAGAAAGAGGTTTCTCAGTCTCCACAGATGAAAATCAGATAAAGGGTTTTCAGAGGGAGAGGTAACCCTAGAAATAGGGACAACAAATACCACATTTTCCTTCCTTTGTGGATGCTAAATGTGTTGTACGTTAAGTTTGTATATATACATGAGTTGTGTATATACGTGAGTGTGTGCATGATTTTTATGTGTTTGTATGTATTTGTATTTGTGGATATGTCTGTTATGTGTATACACATGTGTATATATATGTTGTATCTATGTATATATGTATGTGTGATAAAAATAGAAGAGAGATTACAGCAAAAAATACATAACTGAGGAAAGGAAGGAGAAATGAGGATGCTTAGTGGATGAGCTAAAAATACATGACATACTTTTATGACATTTGCAGACAATGACTATACATTAGTAAAGAAATTTAATGTGAAACAAAGTTGCTTAGAATTTGCACAAACTGTGACATCAGACCTGAATTTGATCCCAGAACTCACATGAAAAGGAAAAAAGTCAAGTTCAAGTTTTCATCTGACTGCACTTGTCCAATTACTTACATGTATACACTCATATATGACTGCACCAAAATGTAATTAACTAAAATGTAATTTAAAAGTAAAAGAATTTATGAAAAAAAGAAAATACTGTGAGGAGGAGGAGGGATGGGGATGAGGGGAGGGAGAGAGAGAAGGGATTGACATGTGAAACAAGCTTCTTCCTAATTTGAACTAATAAAAAAAGGAAAATATTAAGAAATGTTCAGCAGTCAAGAAGTAAGAATGTCCTCTAGGAGCTAGAAAAACCAAGAAACACCATTTCCTAGAGCCTTCAAACTGAAATACAGTTTTTCTACATCACTTCAGCCCATTTCTTGAATACCATAACCATGAAAAGATAAATCTCTAATATTTAAACAACAGAATTTGTGGTAAATTATTATAGCAGGAATGGAAAGACAATATGGGGTTCTTTTCTGTATTTTCATATATACGTTTTTCATATTGAAAGACAGATGAGACATTGAATCCATCATTTTTGCTGGGCTCGGCAAGTGTTTGCATGAGTGCCCAGTCACTCAGGCAGAAGAGGGAAGTGTGCAGGTCCATGTCTGTGTGTAGTGTGAGCAGCTGGTGAGATTCTCAGAGGAGGTTTTTGTTGGAGGCTGAAGCACTGTGGGAGGAGAGGTATGATCTTGCAAACAGTAATAATCTCCCATATCTTCAGCCTGGACACTGCTGATGGTGAGAGTGAAATCAGTCTCAGATCCAGTGCCTACAAAGCGATCAGGGACCCCAGTATGCCGTGTGGATCCCCAGTAGATCAGCAGTTTAGGAGACTGCCCTGCTTTCTGCTGATACCAGGCTAAGCGGTTCTTCTTGCTATTGCTGCCAAACAGATTCTGGCTGGCCTTACAGTTGATGGAAACCTTCTCTCCCTCTGACACAGCCACTGATGATGGAGACTGTGTCAACATGATGTCCCCACAGATACCTGAAATCATGAAAGGACAATGAACGTACGCAGATACACAAAAACATGACAGTTGATTTGTCAGTTAATGTCCTTGTAATGTCATATTGTCAAAGCATCATTATGTAAGAAATATGCCCTAGCATACATTATCAAATTCTTATATACAAGGAAGTGATTTTGAAATGATTGTAATGTTATTTAATTTCTCACCAGACACCCAGAGCAGCAGGGACATGAGAACTTGGGTCTGTGACTCCATCTTGCCTGTCTATGCCACTCAGTTCTTACTGCAAAGGCCTGGTATATAAATTCTGAACAGCTGGGCTGGACTGGAGGGGCCCATGCAAAGCAGTCAGCACATACAAGGCAAATGCCTGAGCAGTGTGTGTGAAAGTGGCTGGTGTCAATCAAGAGTCAAAAATACTATCACAGAGAACATGAGCAATCGCTGAAAGATATCAGACAAATCCACTAGGACTCAGTCCCCTCTTTCGGCCCATGTAGTAACCCACACTCATGTAGCAATACACAGGAGGATACTTATAGAGTGAAAATAAAATTTTGTTGAGTCTTTTAAAAGAATGTTTGAGTATACATATGATGTACATGTGTTTATATTGTACGGTTACATACCTCATGATTGTGAAGTTAAAGTTGCTTATTTATATTGAAAATAAAATTTTTCATAAACTATATTCTAATTATAGTTTCCCCTTCTTCATCTCCTCCCAGTTCCTCCATTCCTTTCCACCTCATGTCTTATTTCTCTTTCTTTTCAGAAAAATGAATGGTAAATAAAAAAAAACTATATTTAAGAAAAACAAAGCACAAGATAAATACACACACACACACACACACACACACACACACTCACACATGTAGACACCATAAAACACAAAATTGGAAAGCATATTATATAAGTAAACATCACTAATGTAGTAAACACCAAAACAAATCAAATTGAACAAAAAATAAAAAAAAACTACAGAGTTCATTTTGTGTTATCCATGTACTGGGCATGGGGCCTGCACTTAAGAGTGGTTTGTAACCACAATGAATCTGTTGAAGAGAAATAATTTTCACTTTGCAAGTGGTTGGCACTTGGAAATAGTTTCATTGGGGTTAGAGTTCATGTCCATTTCCCCTACTCACCATTGGGACCCCATCTATCTTAGACCTGTGCTGGAGATGTACATGATGCCACAGTCTGTTAGCTCCTATGTGCATCAGTCCTGTTGTGTGTGGAAGAGACTGTTTCCTCATCCAGTAGCTGACAGAAGCAGAAGCAGAGATCCACAACTAAGCATTGAGCTGAACTCCTGGTATCCAGTTGTAGAGAGTTAGAGGTGATGAGTAAAGCGGTCAAGACCATGCTGGAGAGACCACACAGAAACAACTGACCTGAGCAAGTGGGAGCTCATGGACCCCAGTCAGACACCTGGGGAAGCAACATTGGACTGAACCAGGCACCCTGATTATGGGTGACAGTTAGGAGTTCTGGAAAGTCTATGGGATGCCTGTATTGGAAACAGTG